TCACTTTTTGGCCAGGCTGGAGGGGGCACAGTGGGCTATTGAAGTAAATTGCGCCGTAGACACCCCCTCTGGCTGCAATGCGATCGCCCGCATGGGATCGCAAGGCACATTGTGCCTGCAGTGTGGTCGGGTACAGTGCGATCAAAATAGTGCTTGCAGCACCGCACCCAAACGCACTGCAGGCACAATGTGCCTTGCGATCCCGTGCGAGCAATCGCATTGTGGCCGGAGGGCGTGGCTATGGCGCCATTCGCTTCAATGGCCCGCCAGACCCCCTCCTGCCCGGCCAAAAAGTGAGTCGGTCGCAATGTGATGCAGTGCGTTCCGGCCGGAACGCACTGCAAGTGGTGTGCAGGAGCAGCCGTTTTTTTGGTATAACCACTTCCAGCGGAGGACGTATATTTATGTCAACCCGCAGGAAGTGGTTAAAAAACAAAACACACACACGTAATGAAACATACATATTACACACACACATTAAAAACACAGACACACGTAGCTTCATTAATGGGGGGGAAAAAAATCACACACACACATTAAAAAAACACACAATAAAAACAATTGTTAATTAAAAATTGTCCCCCTCTCCTGCTTACCTGTTTTGCAGGAACGGGGGCTGCATTGCTGGGGTCCAGTGTGGCACTTGGATTATCCTAATGGTCGAGTGGAGGATCAGTGTGACTGTGATCTGCATCTCAGGCTGATGCAGACCATACTAATTGATCCCTGCCAATCAGCGGCGGCACCACGAGGGATCGATCAGTATGATCTGCATCAGCAAGAGATGCAGGTCATACTGATTCCCCGCTGGACCACCAGGGAATGATTTTCATTTAATATATTGCCGCTTCGGCAATATATGAAATGAGATGTGGGCACTTGCCAGGTTTAAAGATGGCCGCCGCTACTCGCGGCGGCCATCTTTAAAAAAGTAATGTGCAGTCAGTCACAGACAGGGGGACACCCTTGACGGTGGCTCTGCTCACCGCTACTAGTGGCCGGGATTTCGATCGCGGCGACCCCCCTGTTCACTTGCGCGACCCCACTTGGGGTCGCGACCCACACATTAAGAACCGCTGCACTAAAGAAACAGAACTTACAGAGCTATTCACTAAAGGGAGAAGAGTTTGGAGAAGGCCGGAGAAGGGAACAATCTAGGACAACAGAGCTGACCTGAAAAGTGAGATGAATTGGAGAATTGTTACAAATCAGCTCTGTTGTCCTTGTGCCGCCCCAATAGGGGCATAGAATATGAGATGCATAGCCTCAGTTAATATTAGCATTGTTATATAGGTTAGAATTTATATAGTGTGATTTGCCTAACTATTTTCTCATAGCTAAATCCATGTGTTATCCTATGCTGCCATCTAGTGGCCTTTTGTTGTAACAAACATGTTTTCTGTAATTATTCCTCATGTGACGACGTATTTCCCCCTAGTGTACGCCCCTTCCTTCTTCCTGTGTGCAGTACTTCCTGTGTCATGGCCAAAGTTAAAAGCCACATGTAACAAGGACACATATGTAATCTGCACAGTACGTAGGAAAGGCATCATTTTTTGACCGCACAATACCATCACCATTCATCTGCTGTTCCTGTTATCTGCTGTAATCCTGATGTAAAGAATAAACACCTCTTTTGAATGAATCGGTATTGACGAGTTCAGCTATCTGACGAGGATTGTCCGCAGTGAGTATATCTGCTTATACAGGCCAGGCGTAGAGGTCTCAGGAAGGGATATATCGCTATTACAACAATCGGAGTCAGAATAGTCCTAGATTGTTCCCTTCTCCGGCCTTCTCCAAACTCTTCACTCGTTTGGGAATATCCCTGTTAGTGATTTGCTGTTTTCCTTACCTCTCAGCTCCGGAGTCAGTGTGTGTCCGTGTTCATCAAGCAGAATCCGATCCACAAGACCCTCACCTAGAAAATAAAGAAATGACAACATGTATATATCTGTATAAATGGTATATTGCAGTTACATATTACGCCAGCCACTCATTAAAACCGCTTCAGGTCAACCAATTGTAAAAAAAAAAACATCCTGTCCTAAACCGGTTATACCAGGAACACGGCTGCTGCATCATTTTAAACAGCAGGCGATTGCTGTTTAAATACAAGCAATCCGATGGCTGTACATCTGTGGCGATCGCTTGTACGGTGCGCTGTCCCTTATGCGGCCCCCGGGACCGGCATGGTGGGTCTTCCCTGACTGATTGGAGAGAGATCAGCAGGCTTCCAGCCGCTGAACTCTCCTCTGATCACGGGACCCGGAAGTGACGTGTATTACATCACGTCACTGTGCACATTGTCCAGCTCTTAGAGCCAGAAGAAGAAGCTGGGGAAGCAAATCTCTGTTTCCGGCTCCCCCGGATGTGAGTCTCTTTCACCATCATCCTATATCTCATTCATGAACTCACAGGCTACCTCTATTAACTTCCTGACAAAGCTACGGCGAAACGCGTCGAAGAAAGAAAAATACAGATTATTATTATTCTATGGAATTTGCACTAATATGATGAATAATTTGTTTACTGACTTTTAAAGAAATGAAATATAGAAACGATGAATTACTGCCTTATTGCATATTAATCTGTATAATTTCCATAGAGGAGATATGCTGTGTATATAGTGACGTTTTAACAATGAATATGAGATGCTTTTATTTATACTGTCAATCATGTATTTACCCTATTAAAAAATGAATTTTATTATATTGATGAACTTTTTGACATTATGTTTAGCCATACTCCCTAGCATTATTTAGTAGACACATTCAAAGCCCCATCTTTTCTTTCCTCTTTTTTGATTTACGATTAATCAGGGGTGTGGTGTCTCCAATTTAGTGCTGATCCCTAACTATTTCTTTACGACATTAGGGGTCTGAAAGACCCCTGATGCCTCCATAAAGAGGACCTGTCACTAGAGATGGTCCGATACCACATTTTCAAGACCAAGTACTTGCCCTCAGGTACTTGCCGATAGCGATTACCGATACTTTTTCTTAAAGGGACATGTGACATTTTTTCGAAAACAATACAGACTAATGATTTTAGGGAAGATTCTCACCAGAGCTAAATACAGTTCTCACCAGGCTGCGTTCAGAATCTGTGTGCGGTTCAAACCATTACCTTTCAATGTGAGGGTTTTTTTTTTTATTCATCTCATTCTGGATACAAAGTTTCATCAGCAATGCTTTTTCATTGCCAGACATAAGGAGCTTATATCAGCGGTACCCTGGTTCACTCCAATTTCAACATGCTTTAATCTGAATTTTCAGCTAGCCTGTGTAATATGTCTATGAAGGGGTGAACCCTATTATATTATATTATATTTATTTATTCAATTTTGATTTCTTCCATCATCAGCAGTCACGGTTACCAGCAGGGTTCTATTAGATTGGTGGTAATGGGATTGTTCCAATCATTTTGAAGTGTATGTTTAATTGACAACGTTGCCAATTGTTATCAGGAGTTACGGTTTTGTAGTGCTGTGTTTATGCTTCTTATGTTTTATTATTTTTGCTAGAACACTTAACAAATACACTTTAAAAAATTAAAAAAGGCCTCAGTCATGAAGGGCATGACTGAGGCCTTTTTTAATTTTTTTGCACCCATGGTATATTCCACATTTTAGGCCTGAAAATTACTTAAAACCCCCAAACATGATATATTTTCTGAAAGCCAAGACCCTAAAAAATAAAATGGTGGTAGTTGAAAATGTTTTATGTTGCACAATATTAGCGCAACTCCTTTTTAAACCCCAAAATTTTGTAAAAAATTTACTTAAATGCCCCCAAAACAAAATATAATACCCATTTTTAAAATAAAATATAATAGATGAGGTTACAACGAGTAAATAGATACCCAACATGCCCAGGTTAAAAAATTGTGTTCGTCCGTGAAACGGCGACAAGCTTCAGTACTCCAAAAAGTCCATAGACGATTTAAAGGCCCCTACAGGTCATCAGTTTAGAGATGCCCTAGAATTATTGCTCTCACTCCGACGTGCGCGGCGATACCCAACATGTGTAGCGCGTTCGTCGTTTTCATACTTAGGCGCACCCGACACGTGTTAACGCGGTGACGCGCGTGCTCGCGGGGGCGGGGACTTAAAAACATTTTTTATTATTTTTTTAGATTTATTTTATGTAATGGTAATTTTAAAAACTGTTATTTGTTTTTTTTTTAACTTTAATTGCCATCACATAGGGGGCTTACAATCCCCCATGTGATAGCAGATGGTGGTGACAGGTACTTTTTAAGGTGATGCTGGGGGTCTAAAAGACCCCACGTGTCACCTTTACACTCCAAATAAGCTATTGAAGTGCAGATCACACATCAATAGCTTATAGCTGGGCTTCAGGAGCCCAGCACTGACAGCTATGGGACCGGAAGTGATGCAATCTGCATAGCTCCCGGTGCCATAGAACGGGGAGGGGATGGACAAACGTAGGTTCATCCATCTCCTCCCCAGCTCCCCGCCGACACCAGAGAAGCCGGTCCCGGGCCCGTAGGAGGGGCAAAAGAGCCGGGAAGCACGGCGGGGGTGTTGGGCGGGGAGGACCCCTTCACAGGGCCGTAGAAGCCATCTGGCGACAGCTGAGTCGCCAGAATCGCTTCTATTGTAAAGCTGACAGTCGGCCGCTGGGAGTCTGTTTAAACAGCCCCGATGCTAGCGACGTACACTGAACACTGTTTGTCGTGAAGGGGTTAATAAAGTAAGCCAATCGGCTAAAGATTTATACAGACTTGGTTGAAGTGCAACCGCTTTTTTCACCTTTTCTTTGTAAAGCTGTTTATTTTTGTTTGTTTTTGTTTGCGTATCCTTAGTACTAGCCTTTCTCGGCTCTATCTAAACATCTTTTACTGGAGTTGGCATTTTGGAGTCATTTTTTTTTCACATAGTTTATCTCTAAACAAAATGACTGAAAAGTGAAGTTCTTTCAATTATAAAAAAAGTTACTTTTGATTACACACACAAAGTCCTGTTACCTGTCTGGCTGATTTCCCCCAGAATGCCCAATAAATTAGGATGATTTTTCTGAAGCGCATAGAGACATTCCCAGAGTCCAATCACAGCTTCCCTTCCCCGATCCTGAATATCTTGTAACAAGTTGTGAGAGAAGAAAGTGGTTCCCACTCCGCCGACGTATTTCTAAAACAAAAATATTGTTACTTTTATCTACCCCTCCCCATACAATGAGTACAGGGGCGCATTAACATCCTTCATTACACATTCCCAAAAAATAAAGTTAAATAATAAAAGTAAATAAACATCAACATCATGAAAAATATTTTAATAAAAATACAACCTAGAAGAAGTAAGCCATGTCCCCCAATGTAAATCTATCATCAATCACATCGTCCAGTGATGTCAAATCCATTGTCAATCATGATGACCCGCCTCCAAGATAACCCGCCATTAGGCAATGTTTTCCTACTGTACTACCACCACTAAATGACAGATCCTCAGCACTGCTAAAAACAACATCCTGGGGGGCCGGGTGATGTTACTGATCAACTACTTAGCCAATGACATTGCTCAGGATCCCTGGTTGTTTGTTACACTTTAGCTGCCAGGAATTCAGATGGGCAAATTGGTCACTGCAAACAGGATTTCACCCGGATCTCATCCCCAATATGTATGTGTTGTATTTTCATTTCCTGGAAGCAGGTTAAGCTCTATGCTTTATTTATAATTTGTTCCAGAATATTTTTAGCTACTTTTTAAAAACCCTTTTAGTCACAGAGCTCAGTAGCTCAAGCCCCAAATTTCTAAATAACAAGATATATTTTCAACATCTTGTGTGGGGTTTAACACACGAAATCCTACAAAATGTTCAGTTTTGGGTTGATTATGTGTAAATGCATACATTTTGCATAGTCAGACTATTATAGAGTGATTTTAGGTTTAGCTTTCTCTATAGAGTTGGGAAGATTATCTTATGTTTTAAAAGTCCTAGTCTGACCGACTTCCAGGACCAGAAGTTGGTGTCACAAACTTCCCCGTGGATGTATTGGCTGAAAACCTAGTGAAGATGGAGAGTGAGGTCCAAGGTTTTATGTCACAGAAGTCACTTAGATCAGAGAATCAGCCACAGTGATAGAGTGAGAGAAATAGTGTTCCCCCCGTTGATATTAGTTTAACTTAAATCTGGACTAAAATTATAGAAAGTTTGCAGTAAAGTTAGAAAAAAAAAATCTTTATCTTACATCTGTATTTAACACATTCCGAGAGTTGAGTTCTACGAGGACAGAATGAGGGTCCAGGTTCTCCAGGATGTAGGTCAGGTCATCTCTGTAATACTCGTGTATCCTCCTCAGTGATGAATCGGAATACGCAGACAGCTGATGGCGGAACCTCCTGATGTCCTCTAGAGAAACACAGAAATACATCTACAGGTCTGAGGATGACATTTAGGACACAAATGTGTAGCGCATTCAATGTGTAACCAATTCTTGTTTTTTTATATCCATTGTTATACTGAGGCTTTGTTTCAGAAAGTATATTTCAGTCCACTCAGACACCAAATACAAGCGCCCGTTCACAAGCAGAAGGTAAATGTGGAACTAAAATTTACTTCTTTGTTTTGAAAAATGTAAATGTTCCTCATGTACACTGGATGGTATTAAGCAAATAAAACAATAGGAAGATACAAGATTCATTTAATACCAGCAACCTAATTAACTGTTATAATCAGCAGCCGTGAGTCCATAGATTGCTTTCTTTTTTTACACAATTCTAATTCAATGTTCACTCCGACTGACCTGGCCAGCTGGAAGCACTTTTGTAGGTCCGTATGCCATACGTCCTTGGCAGCGAAAGGGTTAAACAGCCCATCATGCACAGACCAATGTAGTTTGTGTTTATTGTTCATTAGCAATACTAACTGGCTGATTTTCGTTGATCGAAAGACCAAATTTTAGTTTGTGCATGTGCAGTTTTCATCGTGTGATTTTTGCTGTATGAAAACGTCACTAATCCGTCGATTTTTCATCCAACTCAGAAAAAAATTTCTAGGCTGCTTGAAAGATGAAAATCGGCCAGTTCTACGGTAATTACAGTTGTGCACTTCCCATCAACTGACCAATTTTCGGACAATTCGTAAAGTGTATGGGCTTCTAAAGCGTGTGAGAGATGCAAGTATGTGAGGTACTATACTTCTTCTATAAAGCACCTCTCTTGGGAATAACTGTGAAGAACATAGCGTGAATGTGCGCATTTCCATGTGAGTTTGTGCATATTTGCTTTCTGCATTTGCCACGCATCCACATTTGTGTGTGTTTTAATGTATGCAAACATGGATGAAAAAACATGCATTTTACTGGCTGCATTTGGGGTGCTATTAATGATAATGGCAGGCTAAGCTTGTTTCTTGTTTATTTGTGTGTTTCGCTGATGTGCATCAAAGCGTGCATTTTTTTTGCATTTGACGTGCATACAAAACATGCTCAGATGTGAATGGGAACTAATATGCAGGAGAAATGTACATATGGGTGGTGGGGAGAGTATATGTTGCCAGTCCATGGATTAGTCAGTGTGATATAGTGGTGAAGGATAAAACATGCTCTGTCATCATTATTACTCATTTGAGGAATAAACAACTATGTTTGAACATATACATATTGTGTCTGTAATACATTCAATAATGAAGTTATAGCTGATATATTAGGCCCATAGCTGAAATATGCAAATTGTTCTGGAGCCCATCGGGTTAGTTAACCACTTCAGGAAAATATAAAACCATAAAAAGCTCTGGTTGCAACTCCAGAGCTGTCCCCTGCAGTACATTTTTCTGCCACTAGATGCTGCCAATCTTGGAGGTTGAATGACATAATTCAACGCACTGCCGAAGGAGCCACCAGAATAACCCGCGCCACCCATAGCCTGTCTAGGGATTTTAGCAACCAGCTGCCCCATTAGCATTAACTGCCCTCTTCTGGTAACCAACAGAGCTGAAATCCAGGCCAGAAATACTGTAATGATGCTAAAGAACTTTTATTAATATATTCACTCTGGGAGAGAGTGTATAGACATCCATGTCTAGAATAGACAACGACTCCAGACTCACCAGTCCCTTTGTGTAATTCAGTGTAGATCCATGTTGTAGCACAGTGAATAGAGATAGGTACAGAATCTTCAATAGGAGAGACACCAGACCTGCTCCTGAGGTCCTCTATATTCCAGGCACCTCCAGCAGCCATCAGCTTCCCTGGTTCTCCTCAATTAGCAACAGAGGCCTTCCCCAGGCTTGAGGCCTTGCAAAGTTTTTCCCACACTCAGGTGTTCTCACCATCAGGCCTAGCCTGGGGGCAGACTGGACTGCACCCCAACCTGGACTAATCCATTGCTGGATCCAGACTGGACTGGGTACATGGCAATTCCCTGGAGTATATATGCCCTGTTCCAGCATGCAACACTGGATTATCTTCACTGGAGTCTGTCAACCCCCTCTCTCCCAGTAAAAACTGCACTCAGTCCAAAAAATGTTTACTAGTTCAAAAACATAGTTGATCACAGGACACAGTCTCTTTAGTTGCTAGGAGCATCCGAAAAAAAACCCAGCGGTTTTGAGCACAAATTCCTCGGTCACCAGGTCGGTTGCTATGGGTTGCGCAGCACAAAAATTCACAGAAAATGGCTAAAAAATGACTGACATGATCCCGGATGAGCCCCAAAATGTAGAGCTCACCACTGAAGAAGCCGCCAGAATAACCCGGGTCACTAGTCTGTCTAGGTGTTTTAGTATTCAGCTGCCCCATTAGCATTAACAGTCCTCTTCAAGTGCCCACAAAGCTGATATACACTCCAAAAGTATAATACTAAAGAACTTTTATTAACATCGTCACACTCGGGAGAGAGGGTATGGGGATCTTAGACAATCTGGGTAGTACAGATATAGACTCCAGACACACCAGTCCAATTCAGTAACTCTGTGTAGATCAATTTGTAGCATAGTTGAATAGGTATTTGATCTGCAGATGAGCAGGGACAAGCACAAATTTTCAGCAGGAGAGACACCAGACTTGCTCCTGGGGTCTACTATGTTCCGGGCAGCAGCCATCAACTTCCCTGGTTCTCCTCCTCTCCTCGGAGTGGCCGACAGGACCCAGTAAGATTGATGGGAAAGGGGGTCCAGCCATAGATGCAGAGAATCAGAATTTCCACACTGCCACACCCTAGGAAAATTGCAGTCACGTCTACCACTACTGCTGTGACTACTACCCTGGGACAGACTCAAGTTTCAACTGCAGGGGAGAAGGTTAGCGGGAAGCCACCTACCATTAACTCCCTGAGAGCATAGGCAATCAGACAAAGTTGGAAGGAGAAGATTAGGAAGAGAGTTTGGGAGAAGGGTTTAGGCCATGGGTACTGTGCACCACCAATACATGCAGTGCACCTACATTGGCTGACCTAGTCTTTGAGGACCCAGACTCTGATCCTGGTGAAGTTACAATGGATGTGGTGGTTAAGCAGACTGTTCATAGAACTACCAGTTGGCCAGATTGTCATCCAAAGGAAGGTGTGAATTCAACAAGCTCACAGGCAATTAAAGTAATCTGAAACGCTCATATTGCCTGGTGGGTAAAGCAGGCCAGATCCCAGCAGGTGATGCATACGAAGGTGGCACAAGAATGTGGGCTCCAATACCCTTATGTTCCAATGTGGGTACTGGACGAAGTGGAGGACAAGAAGAATGAGTGGATTGCAGAGGCTATCTGGGAGTTTCTGGGGGTGATAAGGGCTAACAGAAGGCATGGACTCAATACCCGAGTAGATGTCAAATTTGATGGATGTTTGCCAACTTGGGACTAAGGGAGACACATTCATCAGGATAAGGTGGTATCAGGGCTCCACCCTGACCTAACTGGTTTGAAGAATTCTGGCTTGGCTGCCATTTCACCCACCTGTGATTCCTCCTTTGTCTAAGCAGACTGGGTAACATTGCTCACTACTCCCAGGCTCCCTCTTATGGCCAAACAGGAGAGCATCATCTGAGAGAGCCAGATGGGAGTTTCCTGTCTCCGAGTGATGATGTAATTCCACTCACTATTTAAACTGCTTCAGTCTAGTCTGACCTTGCCCTTGCATGGTTTTACCTGCTAGTGCATTCCTGTTCTGTACATTTTGATTCCGTGTATAACCCGATCCTGGCTGACATTCTCCTCTGGCTCCTGCTCCTGGCTTGTTCCTGACAAGGCTGACCTCCATGTTCCTGACCTGGCTTGTATGACTACCCACTCCGGCTCCTGACCCTGGCTTGTTTCTGTTTATGATTTTTGCTTTTTCCCTGTTGACAGTTTTCTTAATAAAGTATTTTTAACTAGCACCTTATGCTTGTCTAGTTTTCATTGTGCTCTAACAGGTGGTCATCAAAAGACCTGGTCACAAAGACCAGGTACTGTATTACCACCCTGGGTAGAGACGGTCAATCAGTTAGCCCGCCAGATCCCAGGTTCTCCTGATAAGGAGTAATAGGATTCACTGTATAGTGTTTGCAACTGATAAGAAGATGTGTGCCCAGGGGCAAGGACTCTCTTTTCAAGATCTCAGGCTCAGCAGGGTCAGGTGAGGGGGGCTCAGCAGGGTCAGGTGCGGGGAGGCTCAGCAGGGTCAGGCGCGGGGAGGCTCAGCAGGGTCAGGCGCGGGGAGGCTCAGCAGGGTCAGGCGCGGGGAGGCTCAGCAGGGTCAGGCGCGGGGAGGCTCAGCAGGGTCAGGCGCGGGGAGGCTCAGCAGGGTCAGGCGCGGGGAGGCTCAGCAGGGTCAGGCGCGGGGAGGCTCAGCAGGGTCAGGCGCGGGGAGGCTCAGCAGGGTCAGGCGCGGGGAGGCTCAGCAGGGTCAGGCGCGGGGAGGCTCAGCAGGGTCAGGCGCGGGGAGGCTCAGCAGGGTCAGGCGCGGGGAGGCTCAGCAGGGTCAGGCGCGGGGAGGCTCAGCAGGGTCAGGCGCGGGGAGGCTCAGCAGGGTCAGGCGCGGGGAGGCTCAGCAGGGTCAGGCGCGGGGAGGCTCAGCAGGGTCAGGCGCGGGGAGGCTCAGCAGGGTCAGGCGCGGGGAGGCTCAGCAGGGTCAGGCGCGGGGAGGCTCAGCAGGGTCAGGCGCGGGGAGGCTCAGCAGGGTCAGGCGCGGGGAGGCTCAGCAGGGTCAGGCGCGGGGAGGCTCAGCAGGGTCAGGCGCGGGGAGGCTCAGCAGGGTCAGGCGCGGGGAGGCTCAGCAGGGTCAGGCGCGGGGAGGCTCAGCAGGGTCAGGCGCGGGGAGGCTCAGCAGGGTCAGGCGCGGGGAGGCTCAGCAGGGTCAGGCGCGGGGAGGCTCAGCAGGGTCAGGCGCGGGGAGGCTCAGCAGGGTCAGGCGCGGGGAGGCTCAGCAGGGTCAGGCGCGGGGAGGCTCAGCAGGGTCAGGCGCGGGGAGGCTCAGCAGGGTCAGGCGCGGGGAGGCTCAGCAGGGTCAGGCGCGGGGAGGCTCAGCAGGGTCAGGCGCGGGGAGGCTCAGCAGGGTCAGGCGCGGGGAGGCTCAGCAGGGTCAGGCGCGGGGAGGCTCAGCAGGGTCAGGCGCGGGGAGGCTCAGCAGGGTCAGGCGCGGGGAGGCTCAGCAGGGTCAGGCGCGGGGAGGCTCAGCAGGGTCAGGCGCGGGGAGGCTCAGCAGGGTCAGGCGCGGGGAGGCTCAGCAGGGTCAGGCGCGGGGAGGCTCAGCAGGGTCAGGCGCGGGGAGGCTCAGCAGGGTCAGGCGCGGGGAGGCTCAGCAGGGTCAGGCGCGGGGAGGCTCAGCAGGGTCAGGCGCGGGGAGGCTCAGCAGGGTCAGGTGCAGGGAGGCTCAGCAGGCTAAGGTGTGGTGGAGGCTCAGCAGGGTCAGGTG